ATAATTATACATATATCCCCTCCCTCTTGAGCCTCCCTCTCACCCCTCTAGGTCATCACAAAGCACCAGGTTGAACTCTCTTTATTATATAGCAATTTCTCATCAGCTGTTTTATTCATGGTGATGTGTATATGCTGATACTTTCTCCATTCATCCCACTCTTTCCTTCCCTCACTGTGTCCAAAAGTCCATTCTCTATCTCCATTCCTTCCCTTCAAACAGGTGCATCAACACCATTTTTTCTAGATTCCATATATATGCATTAATATACTGTATTTTTCTCTTTCTGACTTACTTTACCCTGCATAACAGACTCTATGTTCATCCATTTCACTAGAACTGATTCAAATCCATTCCTCTTTATGGCTGAATAGCTTTCCATTGTACATATGGCCCACACCCTCCCTATCCATTCATCTATCAATGGACGTCCAGCCTGTTTCCATGTCCTAGCTACTGTTAAAAAAAATGGGTGTAAGACCTAGACAGACACTTCTCCAAGAAGGACATACAGATGTCCAGAGAGCACATGAAAAGCTGCTCAACATCACTAGTTATTAGAGAAACGTGAGTCAAGGCTACAGTGAGGTATCACATCACACTAGTCAGAATGGCCAATATAAAAAAGTCTACAAGCAATAAATCATGGGGAGGATGTGGAGAAAAGGGGGCCCTCTTGCACTGTTGGTGGAAATGTGGATTGGTGCAGCCATTGTGGAGAACAGTATGGAAATTTCTTAAAAAACTAGGAATAAAACTACCATATGACCCGGAAATCCCACTACTGGGCATCTACTCTGAGAAAACCATAATTGAAAAGCACACATGTACTCCAATGTTCATTACTGATGATCTCGACAAAAAAACGAAACAAAACAAGGTTGGTGTGAACAGTGAACATAGCCTTACTTGGGAGGTACCAAAGAGAACAGAAAAATTGGAGCCAGGAAGCAGGAATATCTTTTTCAAGAGCTTGCATTGTAAGAGAGAGAGTGGTAACTTAGTGTTTGCTAAAAGGGATGTAGATCCAAAGGTGAAATTTTTTATTAGGAAAAATAACATTATTTTTGTTTCTCATGGGAACCAACCAATAGAAAGTGAGAGGATAATTGTAGGTGTGATGTCCTTTTATCCTTGAGTGTGTGGGAGGGTTGGGACTCAGGGCACAGCAGGAGATTGGTTTTAGAAAGCAAAATATATGCTTCAACCTTTGTAGCAGAATAAAGTGCTTTGAATGTGAACACAGGGGCAAATACATAATCAATTCAATGAGGAGAATATGTGAAGTTCTTATGTGATTACTTCTGAATTTTCAGTGAAATAAGAGGATTATCAATTGACAGTGTGGAGGGAGAGGAGATTGAGAGATTTGAGATGAGAATGTATAATAATTTTCTAGGATAATGGCTACTGAATGTTTTTGACAGCAACATAGAATAAGAAATATCACTATCCAAGATGTAAATACATGAAAACATGCACACACTAAGAATTTCAGGAGACAATATCCCTACTTCACTTACTTTCACTTCAATTCTATTTTATTAACTAAAGGTAGACAGTAACTCACTAATCTCATGACACACCTATAGGCTGCAATATGCTGGTCGAAATATACTCATCTAGAAGAACTGAAGAGGACATTTTCTGCAGAAATGTAATAGCATTCCTGTGAGGCAAGATAAACCAACTTAAGTATAGACTGTATAGTGAGATTGATCCACATAATCAAAAGCAAATCATCATGGACTCCCCAGTCTCAATTATTCCTCTTGTTTTGATTCCTGCTTTTTTCAACTTGTCTATTCTCTGGTTTGAACTCTATTAATTTTTTTCCCATACCCCATTTCTGAATTCTCTTCATTGAAGCATCTGAAAAATTAAAAAGATTCTATCTCTAAGCTCTCTCCAGCATGTCTTTGTTTCCATATCCTTTGGTTTGACCATGGTTCAGCCCTTTTTGCTTTATTTTTATTTTATAGTTTTACTTTTCTATCATTATGATAATTGGTGCTCATGATAAGAAGTTTCTTTTAAAAAGACAAGTAGCTAAAGAAAATAGATATCAAACACAACATCACTAAGAGATTTTCCAGTTACATCTGTTGGTATATATATTTCTATTTTATATGCATATATTTTATATAATTCCCCCTGGAAGTATCTATATATGCAATTATATAATATAACCCTACCTTGCAATATGCTTATTTTTAAGATAACACATTGTGAATTTCTGTCCACCTCATTATGTATTTGACAAAATTGTATTTAATAGCTGCAGAGCATTTCCAGGTATACGGTTTTAATTTAATTTGTTTTGTTGATTTGTGCAGTCGCGTGTGTGGCTCTCAAATCTGGTACTGAAGGGTGCACAATTTGCCAAAGACCCAAGCTGCTGTGCTCTAAAATGGGTCCATCCCTTAGCTTGCTGCAAGACTAGACTTCCTATGGTCATGCTCAGTCATTCAATTGTGTCCAACTCTTTGCAAGCCTGTGGACCAACCCGCCAGACGTGTCTGTCTATGGGAGTCTTCAGGCAAGAACACTGGAGTGGGTTGCCATTTCCTCCACCATGGGACCTTCCCAACCCAGAGACTGAGCCTGTGTCTGCTGCGTCTCCTGCATAGACAGGCAGATTCTTTACCACTGAGCCACCTTGGAAGCCCCTCCTATGGGTCACTCCCAGTCAATAACTGAATGCCAGAAATGTACGTGGGCAGGCCCATTTCTCGGATGCATGGTATTCCTCTGATGAGCAATTTTAGCTGGAGGTCTCCCAGACAGTCTTGCAGAATATCCTGGAGAACTATGTACAACTTCCCTTTCTTCCTTCCCTCAGGATCAGACTCACACAGAGTCTGAAGTCTCTCCCTGCTTCTCCCAGCTCTTTTCCCATTTCCTCTCAACATCCTTTATTTTTTCCCTAACACAGTTCTTTCCTCACTTAATCCCATCTTGGCATCTGTTTCTCAGAGGCCCCAAACTAACACCAATATTGAGGTTGTTTTCAGATTTTTATTCTCTACAACTACACTTCTGATTGTTCAACATTTAGCACTGCATTCTTCTGTTGGGATCCCTTTGAAGCACTGCCATTGCTCATTAAATTGAACCTAACCTTTCCTTCTCACCCCTATAGGTGGGCTCTAGCCCATCTTTCCACACACCACCCAGCACTCTTAGTCTAGCCAAAGGTCTACTGACCAAGCCCCTACATACGAATGAGTTCCATTCCTGGGGCATGTTTGTAGGCCCAATTTGTTAGTAAGTCCAACAAGGTTAGCCTAGGAACCCAACTAACACAATCGCATATAGCACTCTACTGTAATTGTTTATACTACTTTTCACATAAATAATACATAAAAAACAAAAACTAAGACATTTCTAATCTTACAGTATAATACCTTGAAAAGTACACTAGGGCAGTACAACATCTGGGATACAGGGGCTGGTATTGAGCAAAAAGGCCAAGAAGAGATACTGATTGGAGGATTGAGACAAGGTGGGAGAAAGCAGAGTTGAAGGGTCCATTTGCAACAGGAGATGGAGGACAAACTGCAATCTCACTCATGCCTGGTATTGATGGCACAGGTTCTGGTTCCTTGCTGAATTCAATTCTACTTAAAAAGATACTATACTACGATACTGTATGTAGTGTGTGTGTGTGTGTGTGTGTGTGTGTGTGTGTGTGTGCATGCACGTGCATGTGCTCTTAACTCAGTCGTGTCCAACTCTTTGTGACCCTATGGACTGTAGCCCACCAGACTCCTCTGTTCATGAAATTCTCCAAGCAAGAACACTGGAGTGGGTTGCCATTTCCTTCTCCAGGGAATCTCCCTGACCCAGGGATCAAACCCTGGTCTCCCGCACGGCAGGCAGATTCTTTACCATCTGAGCCATCAGGGAAGATACTCTATACAGTGCTATGCAGTAAAGTACACAAAAGCACAACCACTTGTAGAGGATGCACACACGTGACAATGTATGCCAAACACGTGAATTAACATGATTGGACATGTGAACGCATGCTCACATCTTTGAATGCTTGAAACTTAAAGGTTCATATGTAGGGGACGTCCTGTATTCTCCTACTCACTTTATTGCCCCTTCTCCCGCCTGCCCAAGAATACATCTGCCCAGCTGATGCTTTTTTTACTCTGGATCCCTTCTTGACTTTTCCATCCTAATATTTTTTCAGCTTCATTTTAAAGGCCACAGGAACATGTTTTCTGCAGTGTATTCACCCTTTTTGGTATGTTAAAAGGGAGGCTGTATAGTCTATTATCAGATACGTAGGTATGGTTATATTATCATTGATAAAACACAGACGAAAAGCTAGCTGAGATTGGGTTTGTGTGGGAAACACTGAGCTAAATGAAAAACAATCCAATAATTTTTTTGGTTTGGATTTTGTTTTTAATTTCAAGATTTACCAGAGCCCTTAAAGTGCTAGCACACAATGTGTCTTTCCAAACCCAGCATTTATACTTTTTTAGCTTTTCTTGAATTTGGTTGATCACAAAATCCTTCAAAAACAGATTGCACTTTTTGAAAAGGGTAAAACTTGTTACAGAACTTTCCACGTATTATTTTTGCAGTACTATGTATCCTTCATCTTGGTATAGCCTATTTGCATATTTATCTTACACATATTTCCACTTTAGCCTTTAACATAATGTCTTGAAAATAACAGGCATTTGTTGAGTTGAAATTCATGGATATTTATTGCAGGGTCATGGTCGGGAATATTTGGTAACTGTAAAAATTTAGTTTGCATCTATCTCAGTAGCTTTTTTGCAGTCTTTTTTATACCATCTCATTCTGAGCTGGGAAAGTCATTTTGATGCTGGGCAAACAGCCATTGTTAACATGGGGCTAAATACATTTTCTCTACAAATCACTTTATTGAGACATTATAAGAGAAGAATATAAAAAGAAAGGAGGAAACAGCTGCTTCTGGGTCCTGGCACACCCTGTTTGTGAAGGCAGCCTATGGGTTAGTTGTGATTGTTTTCATTTCCAAGGGTATGTTTGTCAAAAAGGTACTCTGCCAGACCAGACTCAGGGGCCCCCATCTTAATCAAGTTGTTCACGTGGTCACCTAGTTCTTTGATAGACTTCACCTGCTCATTCAGATAGTGGGTTTCTAGGAAATCGCACAAATGGGGGTCACCTTTGTCTGATGCCAGAGTGTGCATTTCCAGCAACGACTGGTTCACAGTCTTTTCCAAGAGCAGAGCACACTCCATGGCATTCAGCCCGCTCTTCCAGTCGTTCTGATCCGGTTTCTTGATGTCCTGCAGGCAGATCAGTCCTCCCCGCTGGTTCTGCAGCCTCATCAGCTTCTCCGCGTGCTCGGTCTCCTCGCGAGACAGTCGAAGGAAATATCTGGCAAAGTTGTGCAAGGCCACGTCATCTCGGGAGAAGTAATAGGCCATGGACAAGTACACGTAGGACGCATAGAGCTCCAGGTTGATCTGGCGGTTAATGGCGGCCTCGGAGTCCGGGTGGAAGTTCTGGCGCACCCGGGAGGGGGCGCCGGCGGCCCCCGCCGGCCCCCAGGAAGAGGCGGCTGCGGCCAGCAGGCGAATGGGGGCGGCGGGCGGGTAGTCCGAGGACAGCCTGGGGACCCAGCGCGGCAGGAAAGCGAAGCCGTGGCGCGCACTGCGCAGGAACACCAACGATGTGCTGATGTGCTTGGGCAGGAACAAGAAACAGGGCAGCATGGCCTCTCCTACTTAGAAATAAGGAAACTGAGGCCAGGCCGGCTGAGCGCGGTCAGGCGCCGCCCGGCCATCAGATCTGAATCAGAACGCAGCCTTAGGCGACGGCGACTGCGTCACAGGCCCCTTCGCTTCCATACGCACCGAATTCCAGGCGGAGGGCTGTGCGGCCGCGCGCGCGTCATTCGCGGTGGGGAAAAGGCTAACAGTTAGAAACATTTCCCCCATCGTCGACGCGAGATTTCTGGGTTTTGGGCGTTTGTAATTTACTATTTCATCTAAGTTTAAAGTGCTGTCGAAAAAGTAGATGCTGTGACTTGCAAAAGAAAGGATGGAGCCAAACCGTACTTGCCCTCCCTCTCAGACCTTTTTCTGTTCAAGGACCAAGAGATGGGGGCGGCAAGGCAGTGAAATAGGGTAAAACAAAAATCAACACCGATTCATCTGAGACTAAATAAAGGTCCACATCCAAAGAGGATGTATATAAATTGACTTTCTGGTTATAACAAATTTAAGTATGGAAATAGTTGCCAGTATACTGGGTAAATTTTCAAGAGTCTGTAAGATAGTGCTTTCTTTAAAAATGACTTATTTTTAAATATAAAATTTATTTTCATTGTAAAAAGTCAGATATTGTAGAAATGTAGGAAAATATATAAACTGTGGCTTCCCTCATGGCTCAGATGGTAAAGAATCATCCTGCAAAACAAGGAACCCAGTTTCATCCCTTGGTCAGGAAGATCCCCTGGAGCAGAGCATGGCAACCTACTCCAGTATTCTTACCCTGGAGAATTCCATGGACAGAGGAATTCTGGCTGGCTACAGTTCATGGGGTTGCAAGAGTCCAACACAGTTGAGCGCGCTGGCACACATTCAGGTGTTCTTTACTCTTGGGTAAATGCTTTGTGTGGAAGGGCCAGACCATATAATACATACATGCTTAACTTTTTAAGGAATTTAAAATAAAATTATTTTTCAAAGTAGTTATACCATTTTACATTCCTGCCTGGCATTGTATGAGAGTTCAAGTTCCTTCACATTGTTGCTAACACTGTTGTCATTTTAAAATTTAATTTTATTTATTTTTAAATTTTATTGGAGTATAGTTTATTTGCAATGTCATGTTAAATTTGTCATATTTCAGCCATTCTAATAGGTGTATGCTTCTCAGATGGCACAATGCAAGAGATGCAAATGCAGGAGATGCAGGAGATACCGCTTTGATCCCTCCATTCGTCAGGAGGATACCCTGATAGGAAATGGCAACCCACTCCAATATTCTTGCCTAGAAAATTCCATGGACAGAGAAGCCTGACGGGCTACAGTCCATGGGGTGGCAAAGAGTTGGAGGCAACCAATCAACTAAGCATGTAGTAGGTGTATACTGATGCGTGCATGGTAAGTAGCTTCAGTCGTGTCTGACTCTTTGTGACCCCTTGGACTATAGCCCACCAGCTTCTTCTGTCCATGGAATTTTCCAGGCAAGAATACTGGACTGGGTTGCTGTGCCCTTCTCTCCAGGGGTTGCTCCTGACCCAGGGATGGAAACCTGGTCTCCTGTGGCCCCTGCAGTGTGGGCAGATTCTTTACTGCTGAGCCACCAGGGAAGGTGTATACTGGTATTTCATTGTATTTTTAGTTTGCACTTCCATAATAATTAATGATGTTAAGTATATTTTCACATATTTCTTGCCAGCCATATGTCTTTGATGAAGTGTATGTTAAAATCTTTTTCTCATTTATATATTGGGTCATTTTTTATTCTTATGGTTGTTTAATTTCTTACAATTAATATCTGGATCTTTGATATTAGTGCTGCTTCTGTTCAGGTCTTGTTTATATTATCTGTATATTACTTTTGTATGTTTCTGTGTGCAAGTCAAATTTCCTGTCTAGGCCAGTTTCCTCAGTTGTAAATTTAGGATCCTCCTTGCCTTCAGTGGGTGGTTGAAAAGATTGAATAGGAGAATGTATGCAGAGGACTTACCAGAGTGCTTGACATGGAATAAGCACTTGAAATATTCTTTCATAGTTTTTATTGGATAATTCCTAGGTGGTTATTCATAATCAATGTATTATTGAGCAAGTGATGATGGTTATTATTGCATTTGGTAAGACTTACACAACTTATAAAGAATGCTGACATGTATTATATTGTTGCTATCATATATGGGTAGTGAGGTAGAAATTCTTTTATTATATGAACATATCAAGCTTGTAGCTTTGGAGTAAGCTCCCTAGTCTCAAATGAACTTCTTAAAGTGTACCATAAATAAAGATGGATGCCTCAAATCTAGGCTTCCCTGATAGCTCAGTTGGTAAAGAATCTGCCTGCAATGCAGGAGACCTCAAATCTAGTGATACCCAAACTCTGCTAGTAGAATGTGATTGATATTCACTGAGCAATTTCTCACTAATTTTTGCTTCTCCAAACCCATTTCTGCTTTTATTTTCCTCAAACTTTTTCTACTCCTAAAATGTACTTCCCTAAAGAGAGGTTATGAAAATGATTCTTTAGAGTGGTATTAAATGCCAGCTGCTCCTACTAGTGTTTTAGGAGAAATGATGCTCTTCATATAAATGCTTATCCCCAAGGTAATAAAAATCACAGATATAAAACAAATGCAATACATGAGATGTAATGCAAAATAATGCCATAAAATACAGTGCACATTTAAATATCACATGTTAACTTGTCAAAAATGTTTCTTTTTCTCATTACAAAGTTTGTCATATATTTTGCTAGACTTTGAAAATGCAAAGATCTGGTATGTGTTATTTTTATCTTATGGACATTTTTAAAAATCTTATGGACATTTTGATTTCTAGTATTCACAGGAAAATTAATGTTGTTATACCAAAAATATGAAGCTAGACCATCACCCACTCCTCCTCACAAATCATTTCTTCCTCAGTTTCAAAATGGCTTCTTTTATTCTTTGAACACCTCCTTAAGCTTTCATGTTTCTCTAGGATTCCCTCTGCTTCTTTACCTTCCTCTCTTCCCATTTTTCACTGTCTCATGAAATCCATCTCATCTTTTAATTTCCCATCAAATATATTACCTACTCTTGTAAGTCTTACATAACCTCATGTAGAATTCATGGCTGCTTTTTGTTGTTGGCAAAGTGTTTATATTGAGAGCTTATCATATCATATCATAATTATAATCATTATCATAATTATAATTCCTTGTGTAAAGTGTATGTTTGTGTCCTTAAGGGCAGAACCATCATCTTATTCATTTTAGAATCCTCAGGCCTAGCATAAAGCTTGACTATTTTGAAAAAGCACAAATAAATCCTTTCAGGTGCCAAAATAGATAGGGACAGAAATTCTTACTTCATATTACATACCAGCTTGGTTGGATGCACTTTTATAAAATATATTAGCAGATGGCTTCACTTTAAGTTCTCTGAGCCTGTCCAGAAAAACTTCTGTACTTAAATTTCATTCTCCAAATGACTAACAAGATCCACTCATCTCTTCTTTATAGATATATTGGTTATTTATTTTATATGCTAAAATGCTTTGCAAATTGGAAATTAAAAACTATATGAATGTGGATTGTTATTCACTCAGTCATGTTTTGATTTATGTAATATACATAGATCAAATTTTATCATATTATTTCCTTTAAAGCATTTGGTTGTAAATACTAAGTTTTTTTAAAACTTACCTACTTTGGAAAAATATTTAAACAACACTCTACACTTTTGCATAAAATAGATGGAAGCAGTGTTGTAATAAGGGAAAGAAAAGATGAAAAGTAACTTCACTCATATTTGTTTTTGTAATAAAGGCATTTTTTCTCTTGTTTTCATTTTTTTTTATTCTCATATTTACATTCAAACAAGGTTGGTAGCATAAGCACCTCTTCATTTTCACGGATTCTGGTCCTTTCTAAAATTGCTTTTCTGTGAGATGTGACAAAGCCAGGGTGAAGAGAAGTCCATTGATTACTAAGGATCATGTACTTGCTGTTTAATAGAGTATTTGAGAATTCTGAATAGAGAACAATAGAGGAAGTTGTCTTGAAAAAAGAAAAAGTATCATATATGTGTTGCTAGTCTGTGTAGGAAATCTCTAGGAAATCTCTCAAAATTCCACAGGGAGTGTCTGGACTCCGCTGTGGAGCCCTTTCTGGCCTCACTCTGTGATCCTTTCAAAACTGGGAAACCTCTGGGTCACCTGATAAATGAGCCAGAACTGAACTCTCAAGTGCAGTACATGCTGCCTCTGAAACTGGAAGAGGTCTAGCAAACTGTTTTATTCATTTTATTCAGCTAGGGTCAGAGGGGCAAGGCGCAGCCACTCTTACTTTACCTTGGAAGAGGTATCTGGCAGGCCTCAAACTGTTAGACTCCAAAAATGACACCAGTATTCTAGCCCCTGATTATCTTCCACCTTCTAAACCTGAGTATCCAGGGTATTTCTTTGCTTACCAGATCTGATCAGCTCACTCCCATCATTCTAACATGATGCCATGTGGAATGTTCAGATGAGACACACTCTCTTTGGACTTATTGTGAGGGCAGGCAATTTAGCATATCTCTGAAGCTAGAATGAGAAGACACTGCTGCCTATCCTGGGTGAATGTGAGCTACTTCAGGTGCCCCTTCCTGGTGGATATTGAAAATCATATATACTCTAAGTTCAAAAGTCATGTACATGAACTAGATGCTTAGTTGACCTGTTTCAGTAAAGATACCATACCTAGAACAACAACTTCAATTGGGGCTCCTGCTTGGTTAAGTACACTATACTCCATTATGATTCTTGGGATTTTGCAGAGACTAGATTGGTGACTTAAATGGTGACGTACATAGTAGGGACCATTACGCTTGCCTCATTTAAGTCTTTAGGGATGGCCCTGATCGTTGCCATTGTAGCTAGCGTGTGGCACTCATTGGCTTTAAGAACTCTGATGGATAGGGGCTTGTTCTCAACTTTTCTGAAAGCTCTTATTCCATGTGTCAAGGAATCGGTGTGAGGATCCTGAG